AAAAAAAAAAAAAAAAAAAATGGAAGTGTCAGGTATAATGACAGTGTCTCTCCCAATAGATTCTTTTTCACTTTCTTTATTTTATTGCATTATTTTTTACATTTAATCACGGAACATCTCCACAGTAAACAAAATGAATCTTCCCAGCACGGATACACTTCATACCAGGCTAGTCAAAGGCATTACCATACACATATCATGGAACTTTTGTGAAAGGTTGTGTTTTCCCTCTCGATCCATATTTTGGCATGTGGATATTCAGTTGTCCCAGCACCATTTGTGGAAAAGGCTGCCTTTTTTTTTTTTGTTAACATTCCAATTTACCCCTTATACTAGAGTGACAATCATTTATTGTTTTAAAGAGGTAGTTACTTTTTTATTTTCTGAAAAAAAATTATATGTGTTTTTCCAATATTTTTGGTTGTTCTAAGCAGGAAAACTCTCTCTGTAGCATTCTAAGAGAGCAGTTCTTTAAACATTTTTCTCAGGTTCATATCTTCTTATGTGTGACATAGATTTTTATATGGAGTTTATGACCACTCCAGAGTTTTTAAAAAATAGATTTGTTTTGGACTCTTTCTTCAATTCTTCTGGCTTTTGCTCTATACTTCTAAGGCAATTTCATCCTGAGCAATTTAAACAAGGTCAAGGGAAATCTGGAAAGCATTGGAAAATATTACAAAAACAGTTCCAAATCTGTGTTGTGTCCTAGAAAGTTAGTTTCAGGTCTCACATATCAGTTTAGTGCTAATTTACTCTTAGGTTTTCCTGTGGCAGGTTTTCTAAAGCCAGTTGCAAATACCAGTGTAATAGAGAGATCACTTGGAGCATAATTTCTTTCAGATGGAGGATCTTTTTTTTTTTTTTCGGAGAAGTTTTTGCTCTAGGGTGTATGCACTTGCCAGACAGACAGAGACAGAGAGACAGAAAGCAAGAAATCACCTCCCCAGGGAGGATGACCACGCCACAATCCCTTCTCCTCCATTCTCCTCTTGGGATCTTGGGCATGCACGCACATGTGCCTGGCGTGAGTTTAAGCCACCAGGTCCGGGACTTGAACTGCGGTCTGCTACATAGGAGTTCAGCGACATAGCCATTACGCTAACTGCTGGTCCCCAGACAGAGGATCTTAACACATACTTTTCACCAACGAATTTTTTTCTTTTTTCTTTTTCTTTTTTTTGGGAGAGGTTTTTGATATAGAGCATGTGCGCTCCCTGGAAAGACAGAGAGACAGAGAGACAGAAAGCGAGAAATCACCCCCCCAGAGGGGATGGCCATGATGCAATCCCTTCTCCTCCATTCTCCTCTCGGGATCTTGGGCACACATGCACATGCACCCGGAGTGAGTTTAAGCCACTGGGTCCAGGTCTCAAACTGCAGTTGGCTACATGAGAATTCAGTGACATAGCCATTACACTAACTGCTGGTCCCACCAACGAATTTTTCCAAATGCTGCAGTCGGCCAAGAAAAAGGAACTTGTCTCTGAGGTAACTGCAAAACTGGTTAATTGGTTGTTATTTCTGTTTTGCAAATGTAGAGAGGCAGACCAGAGTTCTGAAATTAGACTTGTGGATTACAGTGCTGCTCTCGTGGATAACTGATGAGAGATGTTGCCTTTATTCTGCTTAATATGGCATGACCTTGTGGTGGTTTCTTCTTCCTTCTACAGTAAGAACTGTTTTCTTTCAGTGAAAAATAGGTTAATGTAATTCGTGCAAACAACACATAAAGGAAAAATATAAAAACAAGGATCCACAAGACAGAATCTAAATTAGAATCTCTTTTCTAACTTAAAAAAAGAATTTTTTTTAAATTGCCAAAAGGCACATGCACTGGCCATGAGAATAAATTTTCTCTTAATTTATTTACTACTGGCATAGTTTTGTTGTTGTTGTTGTTGTTGTTGTTGTTTGGTTTTTTTTTGTGGAGAGATTTTCACTGTAGGGCGCGTGCGCTCGCCAGCCAGACAGAGAGAGACATAGAGACAGAAAGCGAGAAATCACCCCCCAAGGGGGATGGTCACGCCGCAATCCCTTCTCCTCCATTCTCCTCTCGGGATCTTGGGCACGCATGCACACACGCCTGGCGTGAGTTTTTTAAGCCACCGGGTCCTGGACACGAACCGCGGTCGACTACGTGGGAGTCCAGCGACATAGCCATTACGCTAACTGCTGGTTCCCTTAACTGAATAGTTTTAAGGTCTGTTTCCTTCTCTCAACATTAGGTAATACAAAGGAAATGAATTTGATAATTACACTGCAGTGTTCATTCAGACGCTCAAATTCTGTTGTGAATTTCCTAGAGGATAATGGTGGCAGAGGTGAGAAGGAAGAAGATTTAGAAGTCTGGAAGCTACTCTTAACTACTTCAATTCAAATCAGTAATCTGTAAAATGATAATGCTGATTATGTTAAACACATCTAAGGTACAAAAGAAACTTTTTTTTTTTGAAGAGGTTTGTGCTATAGGGCGCGTGCGCTCGCCAGACAGACAGAGAGAGACATAGAGACAGAAAGCGAGAAATCACCCCCCAGGGGGGATGGTCACGCCGCAATCCCTTCTCCTCCATTCTCCTCTCGGGATCTTGGGCACGCACGCACACGCGCCCGGCGTGAGTTTTAAGCCACCGGGTCCAGGACGCGAACCGCGGTCGACTACGTGGGAGTCCAGCGACATAGCCATTACGCTAACTGCTGGTTCCCAAAAGAAACTTTTGAATTTCCTCATGTTTCTAATTTCGCTATAACATTTCCCTTGGATCCTTACAGGTCACAGGAAGGCAAGGAGCCATTTGATCAAAGCCAGGATCTACTGAGTCCACCCTGAAACAATCCAGCAGTAATAATGTCCCCTTTTGATCTTCCTCAAGCTGCCAGTAATATAAGAAGACCTGGCTGGCACTTTGGGACAGTGGGTAAGGGAGCCAGAGTCCACAGAGCTGACTGTGCTGTTGGAGCCTTGGCCCTGCAGCATGAACACACACCGGGTACGTATCCCTGACTGGCCAACACTCCAACAGCATAGACAGACAGAAGAGGAGGAATTGTGATGTGACCATACCCCATGGGAGTTGCTGTCTCCCTCTCCCTTTCACTGTCTCTCATTAGATTTGAGTAAAGTAACATGAAACTGATCATTGAAAGTTACCAGTGGTGGGACCAGCAGATGGAGTAGTGGTTATGCTACTAGATTCCCACATGGTCAACTGTGGTTTGAGTCCCGGACCCGGCGGCTTAAAACTCACGCGGGGGGTGTATGCATGTGTGCCCAAAATATGGAAAGGCGAATGGAGAAGGGACTGCAGCATAGCCATACCCTCTGGCAGGTGATTTCTCACTTTCCACCTCACTGTCTCTCTGGTGAGTACACTTGCCTTATAGCAAAACCTCTTAAAAAAAAAAATCTCTTCAAAAAAAAAAAAAAAAAAAAAAAGACATACTTTATAATGGTTAGGGTAATGCTAGATGTGGTAGCAAGTAAACCTTAAAATATCAGTTGCTTAACACAATAGACATTTATATTTTATTCACATAGCATTTTGGCTCCAGTAAACCTGGGTAGGGAATAGCTTTCCTGAAGTGAGAGCTGGGATTTTTTCCATCTTGTGAGACATTGACATCCTCTGCTTTCACTCACCAGAAAAGAAACAAAAAGTTGCAAAAGCTGTAACCGAGAAGTAAGGTGAATCACATCCACTTCCACCAGTGGCACGTCCACCTTTGGGTATAAAGGTTGAACTTGAAAAGTGCCAATTTTTACTAGGCAAGAAGCTTTTCTTTTTCCTTTAGGTTTGATAGAGAAATGAGACACTCTTTAATATGTCCTCATGCTGCAATCCATCCCCAGTCTCAGCTGGTCTGAATGCACACTCAGCATGCACAGGGAATTCTGGGATGAACCAAGACCCTTCCCCTGTGGGTCCAGCCCACCAGCACTGCACCACCACCTGGTCCACAGGCACCAAGCTCTTGACAGCTTCACTGTAGAAGGGAAAGCGAAATTGTTTAGTGGACAGTTGGCCATTTCTGCTACATCCTGTGACTCAGCATTGGTATGGAAAACTTGATACTTTAATCATTATTTACCTTTAGCCACTGGTCCTGAAGGCCAAAGGTCATGTCTTGGTAACTTCTAGTCTGCAAATCTCAACGGTCTGCCACATTGCAATGTTCTTTTTCATGTCAGTGCTTCACTAGATGAATTCTCTTTAACAGTCAGGCTCCCGGGAGGTTATCAAACAGTAATCCAAGGGTACTTATTAAAGGACTGTTTACAAAGTTTGGGGAAGCAAAACACACAGAGTATAAGTTCTAAACGAATGTTTTTCTAAATGTATTAAAGAATACTTATATGAGAATCATGTATGGGGTACTTGCTAAAAACACAGGTCTCGCTATGACTCAGCCTTTCAACTGAGTCTCATCCATATTTTAAAAATTTGTTATTAGGGCACATGCACTCATGAGAGGGAGAGAGAGAGAGTGAAAAAGTACTCCTAAAGGGAGATAGCCATGTTGTAATCCCCTCTTCTTTATTCTTTTCTCAGGATTTTGGGCACACACGCAATATGCCCAGCGTGATTCTCAAGACTCCTTCATTATTTGTGTTTGAGTGTCTCCATGTTCTAACAAACATCTCATTAAGATGTTTGAGAATTGTGCTCCTAAATTATAGCTCCACTAGTTAAAGAAGGCAAGCTGTGGGAAAGAAATGCAATGTTTGCCTTTTATCCTGTTAAAGGGTACGCATCCACATATTCTATAAATACGTTCTGAGTTACTCAGCAAAAATCAAGTACAGAGCTGTCAGGGAAAGAACTAGTATTGTACTTTCACTTGATCTGTTGTCTACCAGCCCCCAGGGCTTATTTACCAGCATTTATTCATTTTACAAACCACATGAGGTTTATTGCAAACTTTATTTTTATTATTTTTCACAAAAAATTTCTTGCACTTGAGTCTGTAACTCTCAACTGTTTTGTGTGTGTGATCTGATCCAGAAATTGTACTTGTTGCCAGTCACAGAAAAACGAATAAGGAGGGACAAACAGATGGCATAATGGTTACAGAGCTGGACTCCCACATAGTAGACCACAGTTCAAGTCCTGGACCCTGTGGCTTAAAACTCACGCTGAACACATGTGCGTGCATGCCCAAAATCTTTAGAGGAGAATGGAAGAGAAGGGATTGCGGCATGGCCATCCCCCTTGGGGAGTGATTTTCCTATTTGTCTTTCTGCCTCTCTCTGTCTCTCTGGCAAGCACATGCACCCCATAGCAAAGAAAAGGAAAAAAAAAAAAGAATAAGTAAGGCATGATTTTGCACTCAGGTACTTTCAGGTATAGTTTACACCATGAAGTTTTATTTTAGGTTGTAAAACTGTGAGGTGTATAAGACAGGTGTTATCATCCTGTTTTGAATATGAGAAAGTAGAGGCTGAAGAGACTGCATGGTTGCTTCATGGTTGTACTTTGGTTAAATGATCATACTACCTACAGTTTCCTGCTAATTTAGTTAAAAGACCAAATTATCTATTAGGTCACTGGAAAAGTCATAACGTATTTTTCTATGTGAAAATGCATCATGACTTTTCCGGCAACCCAATAAATTATCCTAAGAATACTAAGAACACTAAGTTCTTTCAAATTTAGATAATTTGCCCATTTTTAAACTTAGATATTTTGCATAACTTGAGTAAATTAAGGCTTAACCTTTGTCTTGATTTTAATTTTATAGCTGAAGGCACAGTGAATTATACTATATTCAGATAATTAGGAATGGAAGACAAGAGTTAATGGGAAACAAAACAACTGGGAAGCAAATATTGGCTCATGTGTTGGTTTCTGGATGAGCAAAGGAGGGACTGGGTCAGTGGTATTGATAATAAAGAAAATAGAAAAATGACTCCAAAAAGGAAAAGGGGCAAAGTAAGCAATTCTAAGGCAAGCAATTCCTTCATTTAGACGATTTATTATACAATCAAGCACTTGTCTTGATGCCCTGTCCGTCTCTCTGCATTAAAGTAGTTGTTCCACTTTCACCAGGCCAGCCTTCTTCTCGCATATTAAATAATGCTTGCTCTCACAGTCGGTACGGTGCACTTTCCCCTTATGAAAATAAGCACAGTTCTTATTTTCTCCTTCCTCTCCGTAAAGCTCAAAGCTGTGAATAAAAAAGATAAAATGAATTCTTTTGATATTGAAATCTACTATCAAACTGTATGTGGTATTGTGTTGGACAAAGTGGAAATGATGAGGAAGAAGTGTAAAACAATTCTTATCATAGAGTAACTTCCAATATGCTTGAAAGCATAAGACATCTACATTTGGAAAACCCAATAGCAATTTTATCCAGCATAAGATTAAAGAGCAGTGGACACTAGGCACAATAAGAGTCCAGAGAAGGGAGGGTCAAGGCTCTGACATGACAGCAAATGCTTCATAGTTTGGTCTTGAAGGAAGAATGGGATTTAGATAAGCAGGGCAGATGGGAGAGCCCTGTCGAACAAGCTGCTGTGCAGGATGGAATAAGCTGGAGGAAAAGTAAGTCAATTGAATTTGTTGAACTAAGGATTTATGTTAAAGGGTTAGAAAATCTAAGACAGCATGCCGTGTGGTCATTGCCTATAACTGGCCCATATCCATTAGACTGCTTAGGACAGGAGGATAGGCATTTATGTTTCCAAGTTTATTCCCTGAAGAAAGATAGAAGGACCCCTGCCCAGCCTGCTGTGGGAGAGGGGGAGCTCTCTGGCCATCAAGAACCAATCTCTGGGGACCAGCAATTAGCGTAATGGCTATGTCGCTGGACTCCCATGTAGTCGACCACGGTTCGAGTCTCGGACCCAGTGGCTTAAAACTCACGCCGGGCGCGTGTGCGTGTGTGCCGAAGATCCCGAGAGGAGAATGGAGGAGAAGGGATTGCGGCGTGGCCATCCCCCCTGGGGGATGATTTCTCACTTTCTGTCTCTCTGTCTCTCTCTGTCTTTCTGATGAGCGCACGCACCCTATAGCGAAAACCTCTCCCCCCCCAAAAAAAAAAAAGAACCAATATCTGGTTCCTGAAATCCCAGAGGTAGAGGGACAACTGGAAGACCCTACAATCTCAGACACAGAGTGACCCACAGGCAGACTCAAGACAAGCCTTCTCATTTATATCGGCTATGTTAAGATGACCTCTATTAAGTTATGAGATCTTTTGTTGCTGATTTTTAAAAATTATTTATTATTGTTAATATTATTTGTCACATGAGTTTTGCCAGAGAAAGACAGAAGAGAGAGAGAACGGGAGAGTGAGAAAGCAAGCTGCCAGTTCTGGGATTCAAACCATGGCCAGCCATGTGGGAATTCCAGCACCTTAACCACCATGCCACCTGCTGGCCCCTTTTGTTGCTGAGTTTTAATCAATATGTTTTTTTCTTTCTTTCTTTCTTTCTTTTTTTTAACTGTATCTCACAGTAAAGAGCATCACGGACAACTCAGGGCATACTTGCAGAATAACCTGTGGAGTGGGTTTTGAATGTTCACAACATAATATCATGTTGAATGTGGTGAACATGTTTGTAGCCCCTATTTGTTTATTACAACCATGTACATGCCTTTGAAGACCATTCTATACCTACAAAGACGTGTAATTATTATGTAAATCATAAATGACAATAAATACTTAAAGAAAAGAAAGTTTATTTGCCAGATATTTTTGGAACACCAACTACGGAACTGAAATTTCTATGTGCCAAGAGTGGAATGGTAAAGAAAGAAAAGGTCCTTTCTATTGGGAAACTTGCATTACAGTGAAAGGATATTAAAAAGAAGTCAACAAATAAATACACATGAACACTTCCGAGGGTGGTGAGATTCTTAAAGAAACAAAATAGTTTGAGGTAATAGACATTGTATGGATGTAGAAGAAAGGGCAGCAATTTAGTCTGTGTAATTAGAATGGGCCTCACTGAAGAGGGCCAAACAGATAAACAGAGAACTGACCAGCCGGGGAAGCTTGTAGAGGTAGAGCATTCTATGAGGAGATGGCAAGCAGAAAAGTCTCAAGATGACACGTTTGATGTGTTGAAAGAATACAGAGAACACAGTTTGCCCTGAATATTGTGAATGAGATATAGTTCCAGGTGTGTGAAGACATACTTGTAGTTGTAGTACCCTGGGCCCTTTCCTATAGCAAACACTAAGCATTTGTAGAAAAACTTAATAGTTTAATTATTGAACTGTACAAATGTTGGTTCTCAGTTTAAATTCTAATTGAAGAGAGACCACTGTTTTGATATATAAAATAAGAAAAAGAATATTGAGACTGGAAATTGGAAAGACATATTAAATAACTCAACTCAATGTAATTGGCCTCTGCCTGGATGGTCTGTAGAAAGATGGAGCCTCATTACTGAACATTAAATTTACTTGAGGTCTACAACATACCTAATTCTTAAAGATCCCTGAGGTAGAAAAACAGGCAAAATGATACTTTGACTTTTCAATAGTCAAAAGAATCCACAAGATAACTTTTGTTTTTAACTTGCCAGAAGGTGTGGGCACTCACCAGAGAGAAGAGAGCACCCCTCCACCCCACGGGGCATGGTCAAACTACAATCTCGTCTCCTCCGTTGCTCCATTCTTTCAGGATTTGGGGCACGCATATACATGTGTTCAGTGTGTTTTTCAAGTTGCCAAACCCAGGATTCAAAATGTGGTCAGCATTATGAGATCCAGATCTCTTAAACACTGGGCCATGGAGCCAGTCCCAAGTTAATAACTTTTAACCATAAAATAATGGTTAAAATAATAATGAGGATAAAAATTTTGTTCTAGAGACCAGGAGACGGTGTAATGATTATGTCTCTGGACTCCCACATGGTCAACTGCGGTTCAAGTCCTGAACCCAGAGGCTCGAAACTGATGCCAGAGGTGTATGTGTGCATGTCCAAAATCCTGAGAGAAGAATGGAGGAGAATGGGATTATGATGTGGCCATCCCCTTGGTGGTGTGATTTCTCACATTCTGTCTCTCCAGTGAGTCCATGCACCCTATAGCAAAAATCTCTTACATATATATTTTTTGTTCTAAAAATATGTGGAAAGAGTCAAATCAAGTTAAACACACAGACATGCACACACACAAGGTTCAAAGAGTAAAGTTGAGTGCAGCAATAAATTGAAAATATGTTGAGAATAATGATGGACTGTGGTTTACAGAGCAGGAGAACAGAAAATGAGGAAGAAGGATTATTACCACTGATCTCTTATTAGGAATAGTGTCTCAGTTGCTCCTTATAAACCCACAACAGAGTATAGAAACACATCTCAACTTTAAGTAACTCATACTCAATAAAAAAGAGGATCTTGAGCCAGCAGGTGACATGGAGTTTAAGGCACTGGATCCCACATGGCTCAAGTCCTGAAGCTGTGAGACTTGTCAATCTGGGAGAATGTTTGGGTGTGTGCAAAGTCCCAAGAGGAGAATGGAGGAGAAGGGATTGCAGTGTGATCATCCCCCCAGTAGGGGGTAACTTCTCATTTTCCTTCTCACTCTCTCTGTCTCCATTGAGCACATGTGACTTAAAGCAAAAGGGGAAAAACAAAAAGAAGAAAAGGAAGAAGAAGAAGAGGAAGAACAAGAAGAAGAGGAAGAAGAAGAAAAGAAGAAGAAACAGAAGAAACAAGAAGGAGAAGAAGAAACAGAAGAAGAAGAAACAGAAGAAGGTAAAAGAAGAAGGAGAAGAAGAAACAGAAGAAGAAACAAGAAGGAGGAGAAGAAACAGAAGAAGAAGAAGGTAAAAGAAGAAGGAGAAGAAGAAGAAGGAGAAGAAAAAGAACATAGGAATAACAGTTTCTAGTCATGCCTGCCTTTTATTCTGAGTGCCCAGTGACTTACCTATTTTTGGACAAAACTGAGCCATCTTCCCACTTCCAATCCTCATTAGAGTTCTGGCGGGATAATCCAATCCAACGCATTAAACTAGTTCTGGATTTGATATATTCCTATTGTAAATACAAACAAATAGAGTAGTTAGAATGCTTCCACAGCTCTTGGTATTGCCATATAGACAAAGCTTCATGATACCATCTTCAACAGAAAAGTCTGAATTTGGGGCATGCAGGTGGCAGGGTGGTTAAGGTACTGGACTTCTACATGGTCAACCATGGTTTGAGTCCCAGATCTGGTAGCTTGCTTTCTCATTCTTCCTTTCTTGTCACTCTCTGGTCAAAATAGAATAATAATAATAAATAAAATTATAAATAAATCAATCTTTTTTTAAAGTCTGAATTATATTTTAATATATAATGTGCATAATATGTATTTTCTATATATGTTAATTACTGGTATATATCTGATATTTAGAATTGTACAAGTTGCTATGTTTTACAATTACAAAAAATACTTGTGGGACACAGGAAAAATTGTACATGAATCTTCTGCATTTACAATATATGCTTATATTTTCCATCAATCAAAGATAGAGTCCCAAGTAGACTACCAAATATTACTCAAATCAGATAAAGAGTAAATACCTAGAGAAAGAAAACAAAAAGAAAAAAAATACCACATTGTTGGTGAATTTTATACTACCTAGAATTAAGTTCCTCCTGCTTTAGTTTTGTTGCTTAGTTTCCTTATAAAATTTTATCTATGTTCAATAGAAGCATTAGTTAGTTTTGGTTGAGTTGGTAAATATTTTTCTCAAAATGGCTTATGAATAACGTGCATCTACCTTATTTACTTTTTTACACTTAACAAATTATGACTATCTACTATACTCCTTTGTTTTGTTTTTGCCCATTGCTCCAGCTAGAATATAAGGATTTTTACACATTTTATTAATCGCATAAGTTCGTGTCCTGGATTAGTCCCAACACATACTTTTAAATTAATGGCTGAACTAATTGATCAATCTATTAAGTAAACAAAACCAAAAGAAAATCAAATTTCCATGAATTCTCCTACTCTCTAGAATAGCAGGTTACAATGCATTCATGGCAAACAATAAATGACTTCAGTTTCTTGATAGAGGTGTGATACTCATTATTACATTCCACAAGAGAAAGTGAGTGAAGTCACTTATGACTAATTATTTATTTTCTTTTTTCAAATTGCTAGAGGGTGTTTGCACTCATCAGTGAGAGATGGAGAGGAGAAGAGAGGAGGGGAAAGCATTCCCCCAGAACGATGTGATCTCACACAATCCTTTTTCTTCCATTTTTAAAATCCTATTAGGATTTTAGGCACACACACAGACACACCCCTGGTGTGTCTTCAAAGCATCCAGGGCTGGAATTCACACCATGGTTGGTCATGTGGGATCCCATTCCCTTAACTACTAGGCTATGGGATCAGCCCTTGACAACTTATTTCTTAAAGTTTAAGCTGCTCATTACTTTTCTCTTAATCCTTGATCTTTAAAATATATTTACATTATGTACTTTATTATAGGACCTGACAGGGGAGTTCTGTCTGAAGATTCTGCCTGGAATTTACCTATTTTCTTTTTCTTAAGCATTATATTTCTTCCTTTTTTGGGTATAAATCTTTAACCTGGTATCAGCCTTGTGTAGTAGACTTAGTTCAAGTATATATGTCTCTAATCAGTCTCTTTGTAATAGAGTTGAGAGTTTTGGGCTTTCTTCTAGTTTTGCATGAATGGAAAGAAAAGTGAATTTATTTAGCTTAAGATCTTCTCTGTGAGCCTATGCCCACAAAAGAGTGGATGGAACATCAAGTTTGGATAACAAGAGTCATAACTGACCATGAGCATCACTGGACTGACTGCTTGTGTCTGATCTACAATGTACTTCGGCTCTCGGCAAGGTACAACTCAATCAATCACCTACAGAGATTCAGTAGAATTTGACTGGATTGAGTATTTGTGTTCTGTCATTTTTCCTGGGCTTGAAAAGGTTTCTTAGATTAGCACAAACTGGAAGATACAAGAAAAATATTTTTTAAAAAGGTCAAATGTTAGGGCAGCTCCATTGCTCAGTGGTTAAGGGAGCTAGATCTCACATGTTTGACAGCACAGTTCAAATCCTGGCCCCAGCAATTTGGAAGACAATACAAGGCAAATGTGGGCATGCATGCCCCAAATCCAAGGGATGAGAAATGGAGGAGAAGGGGTGCAGTGCGACCATGCTTCACTGAGGGGTGCTTTTTCCTTCTCCCCACTTTCTGTCTCTCTCTAGCAAGCACATGTGCCTTATAGAATTAAATTTTTTAAAAAATCAATTGTTCCATTTGTGATTTTTTTTTCTCCCTGTGCTTCTAAAATATTTGACATAGGAATCTCCTTACCAGAATGTGCTGGCTGGAAATCTTCAGAAGAGTTGCATTCAGGTCAGAGCAGTAATGCTTACTCTCTTTCCACGTCCGGTTGTGCTTGAAGAACCCATAGCAGCTATTTCCATGATATCTCCAGTTCGTGCCACAGGGGCTGCATTTATGGCCTTGAAGAGAAACCAAGTATGGAAACCCATTCATCCTAAGTCAGGTCCC